AACTGCCAGATATATGGACATGTCATCAGGAATAGATGAGCAATTTGGTTTCAGAGACAACCACTCAACGGAATTACAATTGGCCAAAATAGCACAACATATACAATCTGCACTTAGAAAAAGGATGTCGACTGGTCTCATTTCTTTTGATGTCGCTAAGGCTTCGACAAAGTCTGGCACTCGGGCCTAATTGTGAAGATGGCTGCTCAGAACATTCCACCACCTATCATCAAACTCATAGGCAGTTTCTAAAACGAAAGTTCGTTCCAAGTCAAAATGAACAATTCAACCTCTTCAATAAAATCGATACAGGCTGGAGTGCCACAGGGGTCTCCGTTATCTCCACTGCTCTATAGCCTGTTCACTGCAGACATACCGAAACTTGAGCCATCTATGCTATCGCTCTATGCTACCGAGACTTGTATTGTGTACTCAGACAAATTAGCCTGCAATATCACCTACGGGGAACATTGACGTGCTTGTTCAGTATTTTAAAAATGGAAAATAAAATTGAACGCTGAAAAGACTCGGGCAATTTTCATTACCAGGAAGCGCCGCCAAGCACCCAGAAAAGTAAAGGTAGAAGAACAAGAAATAGAATGGGCCGATACTCTCAAATACCTAGGCATAACCTTTGACAACAAGTACTCCTGGAAAGCACATTTCTGCACGAATATTGCACTCCCTCCACCCGCTCATCAGCAGCAAAAAGCTCAACATAAAGAATAAATTTACATATTCAAACAGATTATTAAGCCAGGACTACTCTATGGTAGTATTGTGTATTGCCAAGCGCCAAACTCAACATTAAAAATTCTTTAAAGAGGGCAAAATATCGCCTTAAGAAAACTTGTTAACGCCCCATGGTACGTAAGAGGAGCGGATATCCACAGAGATCTGAGAGTCGATTCAGTCGAAAAATATATTAAAGATCGTGCACTGAAACTGTTCAATATAATTGACAATCACAATAATCCAACACTCAGCAACCTAAAAATACAGACAAATCTGATAAACACAGGCAGATACAAAGACATCAGATTGATCATATTATAAAGCCCCGTATTCAGTTATTCTTAGTGTGACTTAAAACTGTCCACAGATATAATAGAGTTAAGGTATAAATCGACAACTCAGACATCTGCATATCAACAACAGTCGTCGCCCGTCTTTGACTGCGACCGCTAGCCTTTGTGAGGCAGCTCAATTAGTAGCTTGATATCACCGGTTGGTAGTACCGAGTGCCTTTATACCATTGGTCACCTGGTCTTTCCACCAAATATGTGAACATCCTTTACTGCGATTTCCACCAACGCGTACTGCGTCAAACACCTTTCTGGCCAAGGCGCACGACACGACGCATAAGTACTTGTAGCCCATCATACTGGCATACTGATCCAAATAAATTACCAGATCTTATTGATTTCTGTATAACCAAACACATTGATAAATATAACTATAAAATCGCTTTTAGAGCTCAGTTCAGAGTTCTGATACCATAAGCCAAACCCTTTACAATAGAAAAACCGACTAAGATTCATATCGTGAAAATATTGATTTGGTACGATATAAATAGCGCAATCGTACATCTTAACGATGTCATTATAAAATCAGTGGAACTATCGACATCTTCAGAGGTTTGTAGCCAGAAGAGGAGTAATATGACGCCACTTATTCATAAGCTCCTTAAAAAGAAGCAAAAACTCCTTAAAAAATGGCAACTAGGTCAAGTCAAGAGAAAACGATCCTTAACAAAGCTTCAAAAACCCTATAAAAAAGTTTAAAGGAATCTGCAAATAATGCAATAACAACCTATCTTGTTCAACTAACACCTACATCGGAAACCAACTATTCGTTATGGAAAGCTACGAGAAAGCCAACACATAAAGTCATGCATCAACCTCCACTAAGAAAAGAAAATGGAACATCTTGCCCATATGAGATAGTGATAAAGCTAATCTTCTGGCCAAAAACATTGAAAAAGTTTTTACTAACACAACTAGTAAAAAAAACAGCTACTACCAATAGCAGAAAACCATTTTACATCACATATCAACAACACGATACGACTTGTAACTATTGTGGAATTAATAAAATAATCAAACACAATAAAACCAATGGAAAAGCGCCAGGTTCTGATTTAGTTACAACTAAAATTCTTAAGGAGCTAACAACAAATGCTATTGAATTTATTAAAAATATTTTTAATGCTGCAATAAGGTTGAAATATTTTCCTAGTGTGGAAAGTCGCTACTCAACCGACTTCTTATAAACGCATTAGCTTATTGCCTAAACTTTCTAAAGTTTTTGAAAAAATTATATACGATAGACTGGAACCAATACTAAAAGTAATTCAAGCCATAGCAAACCACCAGTTGGATTTCGGCGCAATCATTCAACAATACAGCAAATCCATAGAGTGGTGAACAAAATCCTAATAAACTTAGACGAAGATGGCTTTTGTGTTGGTGTATTTCTCGGTGTTGAAAAAGCCTTTGATAAAGTATGGCACAAAGGACTTTTACACAAATTAAAAAAAATGTTACCCCATAACTTTTACGAACTCATTTAAAGTTATGTTACTGAACGATGCTTCTGTGTTAAATACAAAAACGAGTATTCTACAATCAGAAAACTCCAAGCAGGTTTCCCCCAAGGAACCGTATTGGGCCGCCTACTGTACCTTCTCTATACTTTAGATATACCTGAACCAACCAGTAAAAACCCAATGCTAGCAACGTTCGCAGATTACACAGTACTGCTTCCAACTTCCAAAATGCAACAAACAATTAATACGACTAAAAATGGTTTAACAATTGGGAAATAAAAATCATCGAAAACAAAACTTCACAAGTAATATTTACAACTAAAACAAAATTTTAGTCAATAGCTATCACCCTTAACAACAAACCCATTCCAGTAATCGAATCAGCAAAATATCTGGGTGTACATTTTGACTCTAAACTAACATGGAAAAATCATATTGTGAAAAAGCAGTTACAAATTAAAGAAAAACAAAGACAATTGTATTGGCTACTGAATAAAAAATCTAAATTTAGTTTAAATAATAAAATCCAACAATCAACGAAGAAATCAAAACTAGAAGTAGAAAATATCACTCAGCAATCACTGTACATAAAAACTCCAATATTAGCTTACTCCCTATAGTTGAGCTCACAAGAAGTCACAGACTTAAAAAAACACGCCCAGTGGACTTTGATCTTAATTAAATTAATTTTATTATCAATATTTATAAATTTAATAGCTTTTATTTATATCTACTCCCCAACTAATATAAATTTCTGTTGTTGAACAGATAGTCGATAAACTTTTCCTTAACTTAATTGAATTTTAAAATATACTTAATGTCTTCAATAAACTAGATCAATGTATACTTACTATGGAAAATAAATAAAAAAAAAATATGAAGTATCTTAGTGTAGCCGTCGATATTCTCAGTAATTACAGTAACCTGGATTACAATCCAAATATATTGAGAATGCAAAATTTGGAAAGTTTTAGTAAGAAAATTATTTTCCATAAAGAAAATTATTTTCCCAGAAGAAGTTTCTAGTTTCACAATAAATAACTTTCACATTTAAATATAGTCTCTGTGCTTTTAATTCCATTCAAGTACAGAAACCACGCTATATATTGGTGACCCCGACGTGATCTAAGCACGCAACAGACGAACACGCAGAATTTTTATGTGCTTAAATATGTTAATATCGTAGTGTAGTTCATAAAGTTCACCTTTCCATCAAATTCCCAACGCTTAAAGGAATATACACGAATATTCTGACGAATTTTTGTCTCAAATGCTCTTAACACCTTCTTTTTATTGAACCAAAGCGAACTTATCAACTTTCAATTTGTATTCTTTTCGTCAACCTCATCACCCCCGATTTGGCTGAAAATTTTTTTATGAACCTCCTGTCATGAAGTAGTAAGACCCGTACCTCGGGAAAAAATTTTGTGATTTTTACAAAAATATATGTAAATGTAAATTATAAAATTGTAATGCTTTTATTAGCATAGGCTAAAAATGTTAAGGCAGATTTAAGAAACTTAAAATTTAATAAACATATTTATTTATTATACTAAAACGAAAGTTTTTTTTATTTGACTTGCATAACATATACTGACGTAGTCTTTCCCTAGTTCGATATTTACATGAAGGTTTTTTGCAGGTGACGTCATCAACAAAGAAGTGATGATGCATGAGCCCTCAAGACCCCCTCTGCCAGGAATGTAGTATATCTCCGTCAATTTGTGTGCTTCTCTCTTACACACAATGTATTTGTTCAGTTATGAAAAAAGAAAGTAATTTAAAATGGGGTCTCATATTAAATTGATTAAATTCTGGCCAAGATGGACAATCTTACGATAAATTCGCAGAAATACACTCATTAAGTGAGTCGGAAAGGAAAGATAAATATACTATTACGATAGTCTTCACAAAATACGCAACTCAGTGTATAATCACATTTCCCTTTGTGTTCAATATAATGTTCATTTTAATAATATGTATAATTACCAATAATTTAATCATAGATTATTATAATGTATCACACTATCAGAATAGCATAATGTTAAAATCAAAGGAAAATGTAAAGGAAACATAAATTTGAAGGCTTCCATAACAAAAGTATAAATTATGTACCTGATAGTGAGTGAGTATTTTAATGTTCTAATTAAATCATTTGATATGTTGATATTGTGGCGACCCAGTAGGCTATGCTTTTATTGAATTTAAAAAGGAAAATTCAATTTTAAATATTTTAAAGTTTCAGTTTGAGATTGTGGAAAACGTTTCCATTTTTCTCTCGTGTAAAAAGTTTGATTAAAAGATTATTAACATCATAAATTTTGAGAGTTTTATTTATTAGCAAGGTTAATAGACCCTAGCTAAATTGGTGACCCCGACGTGATCTGAATGAACGGTTACGTTTTTCAAAATTAATTGAAATATATTATTGCGAGCAACACTTTCAAACAGCATGTCTTTGCCAACGAGCAACGAAGCCGCAGCGGTGCAACGAGAGAACGAATTACGGGAAGGTAATCTGAATCGTGTGTCCGTCAAGGTACCGCCATTTTGGCACGAAAGACCAGAAATTTGGTTCGCGCAAATTGAGGCGCAGTTTGCAGTCGCCGATATAACTAATGACGCTACGAAATTCAACATTGTCGTTGCAGCGATCGAGTCCAGCGTTGTTGCTGATGTAGCCGATGCCGTTTTACATCCTCCGGCAACTGGTAAATACAGTAATTTTAAGAACCAGATTTTAGAGCGGTTTGGTGAAAGTGAACAACGCAAGATTCAGAGGCTCCTTTCTGAGGTCGAATTAGGAGATCGTCGACCATCGCAGTTATTAAATGAGCTGACAGCGCTAGCGAAGGATAAAGTCAGTAGCGAATTCCTGAAGTCACTTTGGCTCCAGCGTCTGCCTCCGCAGGTACGTGCCATTTTGCAGACATCAAATGTTGACCTGGTAGAATTGGCTTAACTGGCTGATAGGATTTGTGAAGCGGGCGATTACCATCAATTAGCTGCAGTGTCATCTCGTGTAAGTAACGATTCGAACGAGACAGCCAGGTTGTGCCAGCGTTTGGATCAGATTGAGCAGCGATTGAGCAGATTGGATTTTGTTGGACGCCAGCCGTCGAGAATGCGACAATCCTCACGCAGAAAGAGTCGAACGCTATCGCAGTCCTCAAACCACTCTGGTTGGTGCTGGTTTCACAGTAGGTTTGGAGAGCAAGCACGCAGATGCCGTCAGCCATGCACGTTTACATCTAATTCAAAGTCAAAAAACTAAGCATGCCGCAATCGACGTCGAGCCGATTGGAGAGCAACGCAATTATAGCTCGACTGACAGTACAAGATCCGGCGACGTCAACCGCTTTTCTTATTGACACCGGAGCGGATCTGTCTGTACTACCCAAAAAATACTACCAAACGAGGTAAGTCAGTTGCTTTATCTTTACCCAGCTTATTTGCTGCTAATGGCACGCCGATACGCGCATACGGCACCAAACGTTTGTCGTTATCCCTTGGTTTAAGGCGCGATTTCCCATGGACGTTTGTGGTGGCGGATGTAAATTTTCCCATAGTCGGCGCAGATTTCTTGAGGCATTATGATTTACTGGTTGACATGAAACGGAAGCAGCTAGTAGACAGCAAGACGTTTGTAGCAGCGAAAGGCGCGGCAGCAGTTGGGCAGGTGAACGGCATCCGAGCCAACTCTATTGCAGGTGACTACAGTTCTTTGCTGAATGAATACCGTGATCTAGCCACATTGCGTGATAACTCCCGCACGTGCGACACGCAAGTTGAACATTTCATCGAGACCACTGGTGCTCCAGTTTTTGCCCGTCCACGACGTTTGTCTGGAACAAAATTGGAGGAAGCAAAGAAGGAGTTTGAATTTTTGTTGCGAAAAGGCATTTGTCAGCCGTCAAAGAGTCCTTGGGCGAGCCCATTGCATATGGTTAAGAAGAGTGATGGCTCGTGGCGACCATGTGGTGACTATCGTATGTTGAATGCGAAAACGAAGCCGGACCGGTACCCGATCCCTTTCCTGCACGATGTAACAACCATCCTTCATGGAAAGAACTTATTTTCTAAGGTTGATTTACAGAAGGCATATCACCAGATTCCAATGGCAGAATGCGATATACCGAAAACAGCGATTACTACTCCTTTTGGGTTATTCGAGTTCCGTTGCATGACATTTGGTTTACGTAACGCAGCCCAGACATTTCAACGGTTTATTAATGCAACCTTGGCTGGTTTAGATTTCGTTTTCGCTTACATCGATGACATATTGATTGCTTCAAAAGACGTCGCAGAACATCGAGTTCATCTGCGAACCGTTTTTGAGCGTCTTCGTCAAGCTGGTTTGACAGTGAATTTTGCCAAGTGTGAATTCGGGTGTAGTGAGATCGAATTCTTAGGCCATTCCATCAGCGCACACGGTTTCAAGCCTCCCGAAAGCAAAGTAGCAGCAATACGTGATTTTCCACTTCCAACAACGGTGAAGGAGTTACGGCGCTTTTTGGGGATGATTAACTTTTATCGACCGTTTCTACGCAATGCCGTCAGCAGTCAGCGTTGTCTCTTCAATCTCACTCCTGGGAACCGAAAAAACGACAATAGCAAGATTGTCTGGAAGCCAGAAGACATTTCCGCATTCGAGACTTGCAAGGTAGATTTAGCTAATGCTACAATTCTCAACTTCATGGCGTCGGATGCTCAGCTAACGTTGATCACTGATGCGTCCGATACAGCAGTCGGTGCTGTTTTGCAGCAGATTGTAGAAGGCAAGTCGCAACCTTTGGCATTTTATTCGAAGGCGTTGAATACGGCGCAATTAAAATACAGCGCGTATGACAGAGAGCTTACTGCCATCGTTCAAGCTATCCAGCACTTCAAGTACGCACTCGAGGGGCGCGATTTCATCATTCTGACTGATCATAAACCACTCACGTTTGCGTTCAAGCAGAATAGCGAGAAGACTTCTCCACGGCGCGTTAGGCAGTTGGAATTCATAAGCCAATTCTCCACTGACAGCTGTTCCAGGACAGCTGTTGTCACAGAAATGCCAAAAGCCAGGTGAAACCGATTTCGTTTCATCACTTCGTAATGCATTGGCTCAACTGAAGACAATCAACGGCAGCAGACACGGGCATCACCCAGTCTATGTTCCGAATGACCTCCTAACCAGCAAGTTTGTGTTCGTGCGTGTCGATCGGGTGAGAGCTCCATTGGAACAGCCGTATGAAGGTCCGTTTCAAGTTCTTCAACGAGATGAAAAATATTTCGTAATTAACAGAAGAGGGAGCAGGTGCACCGTCGCGTTAGACAGATTAAAACCAGCTTATTTGACTAACGATGAACTTACCGGCAAGCAGTTTTCGCCACTTCCTGTAGTCAATCATGAGCGGAAACAAGCATCCGAGAAGAAGGTTCTTAAACCGTCGGCCGTTTCTTCAAAGGTTTCGCGTTCTGGCCGAGCAGTGCATTTCCCAGCGAAGTTGTGTGACTACCGCGAGTAACTTCTCTTCATGTGTAGCGCGTCGTCGCCCGAACTCCGTCGCTAGGAGGGGGGTACTGTGGCGACCCAGTAGGCTATGCTTTTATTGAATTTAAAAAGGAAAATTCAATTTTAAATATTTTAAAGTTTCAGTTTGAGATTGTGGAAAACGTTTCCATTTTTCTCTCGTGTAAAAAGTTTGATTAAAAGATTATTAACATCATAAATTTTGAGAGTTTTATTTATTAGCAAGGTTAATAGACCCTAGCTAAAATATAAATCATTTTCATGAATACGTTAAAGATAAAACTTAGTACTATTTAAATGTTGAAAGTAATCATGATAATAGCAACTTTCACTTTCAACACAAAAATATTTATGGAATATAAGAATAGGTGTTAAATGATTTAAAATTGTTTTAAGTACGAGACTTTATTTCTCAGCTCAAAACAAATATTAAATATCCCAAATATATGACGTGGGAGCCAAGCTCACTTAAATTAAAAGTAAAAACAAAAAGGAATAGAATTGTTATACTTTTACCCTTAATATAATATTCAATGACCTTAAATGTGAAAATAAAGAACTAATGCAAATTTGTATTCAAATTAATGTAGAGCATTATTGGACAGTATAGACTGACTCCTCAGCAGACTGGGTATGTAAAACGAAAGATAGAACGGAGCTAAGACGCTCGATGATTCATGCGACAGATATGAATATGAAATTTTGGGCAGAAACCGTCAATACCGTAGTTTCGTTTGAAATCGTACGGTCTCCAGTTAGTAAGGTGGACGAAAGAACAACATATATGTTACTATTTAGTCGCAAATTATAAAGACCCCCACTCAATAAAAAATAAATTTTATTATATATATAATAAACAGTTAATGGGAACACATTTTATATATAACTAACATCAATTGATCAATTAATCAATTTTATCACAAACCCCCGGCAATTGCTACAATAATTATATTATTTACTCACTAGACATCACATCAATCATACGTATGTTATCTATTAATGTTATAACTTCATTGCAACAATAATTTGAAGAAAAATACTTATTGTATTCTATAAATATTAAAATTATATGTTATCAAGCTCTTCTCCCGAGATATGAAGATTAATTAAATATATGTTAAGTATTATAAATAAATAGGACGTTTTAAATACAGAAAATTTTCACTTTTCACTCTCCTATTAAAAGAAATTAATTAAAAAATAGCAGAAAATCCATTCTTTACGAATGAAACTAGTAGCTTCATAAATTAACTCTGGGTCATTAATATCCATAACCTGGCTTTAAAATTTACTAAGCTCAGATAATTTAAGGCATTATGTAGTAAATGACTATATTAAAATGAAATGTTTTGCTTGTGTGAACAACTATTAATTTAGCTTGGATAACTAGATAATATATAATTATATATATACTTTTAAGAAATATAAGATTTCTAGTAAAATATTTTTCGTCTGACCTTGTATGTGCAGCTACAACACGAGGTTATCAAAATAATTATCCTTGAACAGCAGTAAACTTTCTAAAGCATCAACATACTCATCCTCTTCCACTCTATCAACTCCAACATTTTGAAACGATGTAGTTTTGCAGTTTTCATTTGCTAAGCTTCACGATGCAATGTGTCCACTGTATTCCCTAACTCAATGGAACACTCCGTTGTTCCTGGTTATACTATCCTTTCCGCTGGTTAACCTTTTGTTGTTGTTGTTGCATTTGAGACGACATTGCAAATCCTGCTGCTACCCATTTGGCCCGACGATAAACGCGATCTTGGGTGCTGATTTGAATAAACATAGGCGCAACCCGTATGGAATCAGACATAGGTTCATCTAAATTATTTAAAATAAAAAGCTTTTGAATTATTTTAAATTATCATAACTTACTTGAGTTTTCTAAAAGTACGAGTATATTTTTAGATATATTCGTCATTCAAATATTTAGAGGCCAGCCGCTAAATCCATTATAACAATCAAAAATTGTTTGGAATCCTTGCAAAAATTCGCACTCCTCCACATATTGCCGTATTTTGTCACAAAAGTCATCACTAAACTGTTCAGTTTTCCATAATTCAACGCCACAAGAATATGTATCTAGTTTGGTTGTCTACTGAATGTTTAAAATTGTTCACAACATTTACGGTCCGTGGAGGACTGGGTTATGGAGGATAACCCATGAATTGATATCTTCACCTAAACTGTAACCAGTTTCTTCTACAGATGCATCTGGATTGTCCACCAAGACTTTTTAATATGAATTTCTGACTTTTCCCATAACTCCGAATTGTTGTCACGTGCCAAATGCTTAAGAGAGTCATTCATATCCACGAACATCTAAAGAGGAGTGTAATTAGTTTGACGTTAAAATAAAAAATTATATATAATTAAATATAAATTACTTCAAAAGAAAGTTGACATATACGTACCTAAATAAAAATTTAAATAAA